CCAGAGAATGTCATGAATAGAGAAGATAATTTCAAATGTTACCCTTGGAGAAGATTATGTTTCCTAAAGGATTTGGTTGGGGGAAGTAGGTTACTTTGAAAAGTCCAGAAACTAGCCCTGGCTTTAGAGAATTTTAGATGGATAGGGACCAAGGATTGTGTTCTTTCTCTTCAAAACTATTTGAACAGAATGGCTTCCTGGACAAGAAAGCCATGTACGATGTGACAAGAATAAGCAAGCTGTTTTTGAATTGTCTAAGTTTGGAAATGCACGTCTTGTGAAAAATAGCAGTTCTATAAAATGTCCTTGATTCTGAAAAAGAAAAATTAGGGTAGTTTCGGAAATGTTTGCAGTCTGGCATGTTTTGCTTGGATGTACTATTCAAATAAAAACAATTAGAAAACTTCCTTGAATACATACTAATTCTTAAGCATGTCCAAAATAAACTCTGGATGATAGCCTCAATACTTACAATAAAAATACTGGCTTGTGGTATAATCTGTTGCTGCTTGAATGGATTGCATCAAATTATGTTCAATGAAAATGAAAAAGAAAGATTTTTTTTTTATTAAAAAAAGATAATTGGGAGCAATAGAAATTATCAGAGGCCCAACATGGTTTACATTAGACATTGTTTTAATTCTTTTCACACAAAAAATGGAAATATGTATTTTGTTTCCAGAGTTCTCCATCTGCTATCCACAAAATTTGGTATCCCCAATCTTCTTCCATATTTAAGCAAATATGTATTTTCCATTTTTTTTCCATTGAAGGTATGGGGGTGGTAGAAACACCCATCAACATGCAGAAAAGAAAAGGCTGTTACTTATCACGCCACAGTTCTGCTTCTACCCCACACAGAGAGGAAAATCTGCTAGAGGTTTATATGGTGCCCTGATCCCCTTTTAATCAAAGAGTGTTACGCTCATTTGGAGATACTGTCAATATTTCAACTGTTGTATGAAGAAACCCAAAGAGGAGATCCCTATCATATAACCTGTCCCAGTTTTCTGTCTTGGCTAAGGGACTGCATCAGGTCTTAGCCTCAACTCTTAGCCAGCCCTTGTCCAGCTTTTGCCATCAGGCCACTTACTGTCTGATGCAAGTGAAAGACTGTAGGTTGATAAAATCCATTTTAGGCTATATTCCTATAGAAAGTTTTAGACATACAGGTCATGGTTGTCTCAAAGGTGCTTTTTCAAAAGACAACCGGATTACATTTTTTAAAAATTATATATTCTTTACTTTCTGCCTCATTCCATACTTGAAATATTTTCTTTTTCTTGTTTCCTGTGATGGTGGGCAGTGCAACTTCCCCTAACTCTTTTTACTTTATATTTCTATTTGGTTTAAATCCAATATTAACCTAATTAGTTGCACTTTTGCTTAGATTAACTTGAAAATTAAGATCAGATGACACACTGTAACAAGATAAATGGCAGTGCTCTTTGTTTTTTTTAATATAAAGATGCCAATTTCAATTGACTGTAAAAATAGAGAAATATACTTCCTGATATACTACTTTTTATTATACCATTCAAGATACCATCATCAAATCTTCATTATAGTCAAAAATCAGCAAAGTCAGATGATAACTGGAATGTTTTCTCTGCCATAATACCTGTTTTGTTTACTGTTCATTATCAAGGAATATTTTAACAGCTTGGCATTAATGATTAGTATTGTGTCAAATGAGATAAATTATTAAGTGTGGTATGAAGTCCATTAGGTTGAGTAAACTTCATTTTAATTTATTTAGGGACTTACTGACTGTAGAGTATGTAGTAAGAAATTAAAATGTTTCACTTTTATATATGTCATTATGCAGATGTTAAAATGTTTTGCTCACCATGGGTAGCCAGACTAATTGAAAACACGAGCTAAAACACTAGAATAATTCATTTTATTTTATTTACTCCCTTTAAGTGTTCAGCCATGTCAAATTTGTATGGTAATTCTTCTATTCACCATGAGCAGTGATTCATTATGAGATTAACACATATTCAAAGTTTTCAGAGCAAGGCTGTTAGCAACTGCAATATAGGGCTGACTATCTCTTCAGTTTCAAAGGCTGAAATACATTCTGGGGTGGACCATGGCATTTGTAAGAGCCAAATATGTCTTTTCCTGGAATTGTGCAACAATTGAAGAGGGATCCTGTAGGGAAAAATGCAGCTGCTTTAAGAAGTTGCAGAAGGATGGTGTTCTGTTTCCAAGTAAAAGGCATTGAGATGAGGCAGGAGTAACAAACAGTCTTGTCTTTATTCAATTCACAACAGAACCAAAACAAAATGGCGTGGATTCCTTTTATACCCCTTTTGCAGGGACAGCGTCAACTAATCAATGCAACGTATGTCTCCCGCCTTGCGCATGCACAATAGGCGGGAAACAGCCTGTCTGGTCCCGGGCATCCACATGGTCTGCCTGGGCCTTTCTGCAGCCTCCTGCACCTGCTGAATGACTCAGCAGGCCCAGGACATAACAGATGGTATGCTCACATCCCGTATGTGCAGAAGCATCTCTTCCCTTTGAATTCATGTCCTACACAGCCCTATTTATCCCAATTATATAATAATAGTTGTCTTAGAAATTCAGCTCCAAACCTGGCCACTTTTTAGGAGCATTGCAGGATACTTTGTAGAATGTACAGTATTGTTTTGTTTGCCTCATGGCTCAAGTTTCCAAAATACTCTATTATATATTATATTTATACTGATACAACATCTTACTTGCATACCCGCCTCACATACCTGCGAGAATTTGACTTATATAGTCCATTATTGTATATTCCACTGCCATATAAAAACCTCATTCAGAATACTTACCTACTACTAAAACTGAATGATTGCTTAGTGGCAGGTTAACTCAGGCAAAACTATGAACTCTTCTCAAAGAAGCAGAAAATTAGATTAAAGTTCATGAAATAATTGGCTTATAAATTATTTGCTCCATTGCTAGTAATAGCAGCACTCATTGAGGCCTCCTATAATAAGCCCAGCTTGGTTATGATCCAATGATGCTCAGTTTCAGCAGCCTATGTTAGCTTTCTGCATACAAACATTTTTAGCCTCAAAAGCTTTAATGTTAAAAATTATATTGCTCAATTTTTAGTTATACTTTGTTAGCAAAAATGATTATCAGTACTAAATACTAATTGCTTTCCTTATCCATATAGGCACAGAGATCCTTAATACATCCTACTGCATGGTGCCTCTAAAACATACTGAGACAAGGCAATGACTACTGATACAATTCAGATTTATCATCATAATATATAATCATGATAGTATACTGAGGGCCAGCTCAATATAACATTACTGTAACAAGAAAAGCCTTTAAATATTGGTATTTGGAGACTCAGAAAAATCTTCCAGATTTCTTTTAAGCATTCCTAATACAAAGTGGATAAGCCTTGCACGAACTGTATTTGTCTGTGGGAGCAATGTGATTTTGAATTAGCAACCATGGGATGCATTGAAGTCAAACTAGTACAGTATTAATATTCATAATGAGCAGAATGATGTTTTCTCAGGTTGGAGCTAACATATATTCATTGTTTATTGTGGAAAAAACAAGTTGTCTTTTTTTCTTTTTTCTTTTTCTTTTTTGAAGGAAGAAACATTGGTGCAAAATAGAAGAAAAAAGAAAATGTGCTACTTAGTCCATTTCATTACAATGTTTGAAAAGCTATCTCTGTGTGTGTGTGTGTATATATATATATATATCTACTTGTACTAACCTTTGTACTAATTCTGATAGCAAGGTTATATTTTTTGTAAAAGATTAGGGGAGGTAACATAATTAAATCTGGGTTTTATTATGGACTTGGATATTTTTTCCTTAAATATACATAGTCCTTGACTTCCACCATTCATTTAGCAACTATTCAGACTTTCAATGGCACTAAGAAAAGTGACTTATGACTGCTTGTTGCACTTACAATCATTGCAGTATCCCAATGATCACATGATTAAAGTCTGGATGTTTAGCAACTGGCATGTATTTATGACAGTTGCATTGTCCTGGGGTCATGCGTTCACCATTTGTAACTTTCCAGCTGGTTGGAAATCAACAGGGGAAGCCAGATTCACTTAACAACTGCAATGATTTGCTTAACAAAAAAGCTCGTAAAATGGGGTAAACAATGAAAATGTTGGGCTCATTGGTGGTCATAAGTCAAGGAGTACCTGTAAACTAGGAGGTGTTTGGATTAAGGGAGTGCAGTTGAAGAAGTTAGGCATATCTAGATGGCAAATACTGTAGAATATAGATGGCAACAATCAGAGCTTTATGTACCCCATCAAGTGAGCATCTAGATTTTTGCCATCAAGATATGGTATACCTACCTCTTCCTCTGCCTTCTCTGAATACATTTCTCTCCTTCTTCACTCATTAATTATGGTTATCATTCACTGAAATTCCAAAACTGGCAGTGATTTGTGCAAAACATAATTTCTGAAAATTATTAATGATACGCTGTTAAGCTTTTGTAGAAAAAGAGCAGGCCTATATATCCTCTGATTGGAGAGTCTTCATTAAAGTTGTTCACAAGTTATAGTGAAAGCCTATGCTCATATAATATATTTTCTCCTAATTGTTATACTTTCAAATATCTCCCTTAGGAAAGGGAAGAAGAATAAAGAAAAAGGTAGAGAATCAAAATAGGACGTGGAAGTGAAGGACATGGAAAACAGTGCTTTATTGTCCATGTTCACAATTTCTGACTTGATTTCCCCTTGTCAATGCCAGAATTTTGTATTGAAAACTGAACAGGATATGAAAGTGAAATTTTATACTTTCAATTTTTTACTTGAGTAGGTGTGATGATCGTTTCTTGTTTTGTTTCTGTCAGGAAAACATCTACCTGGAATACAGAATTATTGCAATTTAAATTGCACAAAGTGAATTATATAGTGTATGGTCAGATTATAATTTGTTTTGCCTCTGTTAAATCAAAAAAATATTTTTTGTAAAATTATGTATATTTTCATTTCTTACAGATCACCAGAAATTAGAGAGAGAAGCTAGAATCTGTCGCCTTTTGAAGCACCCTAATATTGGTAAGGAAGGATACCCTCCATTGATAATCTTAGTAGGACAATTACCTTGAAGATAGTTCCATAACAGTAAGAGGGGAAGCAATACTAGTTTTACTCTGGTGTAGTACTGTTGTCAGACATAAGCTCCTTTCAGATGAGGATATTGTAATAAATGGTGATCAAGCCTAGCATCTCTATCTCACCTTTAGAACACAATCTCTTCCTTTTATCCACTATGCCCAAAATGGGGAACATGAAGAATTGATGGTAATTAGTGTCTTCTGCAAACTCTAAACTTGTTTTAGATAAACAAGTTTCATAAACTATGGTTTGCAGTTGGGTTGTTCAAAAAAATTATAGTTATGATAAACAAGACTTTTGGTTCAAGCAGTATTGTTTTAAAATAGAGGTGAAAACTTCTAGTCTTTAGGGTTGTCCAAGAGGAAGAATGACTCCTTTTTATGACTAGGTTTGGAATCTGGCCTAGGAAAGCATTTGGATATGCAAATATTTCCCAGTTTCACAGAATTTCCCTTCGCCATTCAGAGACAATGCTATGTCGTTTTTACTATACCTTGAACAAGGGACAGTGGGGAAGGTCTTGTGAGATTTGACCTCATTCTTTGCTATAGAGTGAAGAAGCAACCATGCCCTTCATGACAAAATGAAACAGAACACATGAAACTTGTTGAAGAATTTATAGCAAGTCAGATTCAATTCTGCACATTGTACAGGTAGTCCTTGACGTATAATCACTATTGGGACCAGCATTTCAATTGTTAAGCAGTGTGGTCATAAGCATGATTTTGTATGACTGCATTGCTTAGCCATGGCAATCTTGACATTCGCTGTTGCAGTCGTTAAGCAAATTAGGCAAGAACCCACCCCAATCCAAGCCATTCCAGGTTTGAGCCATCCCAGCCCTAAGATTTGGTTCTTCCAAGATAAGGAAATGCCTCCCCTTCAATTCCCCCAAGTACCTCTTCATTCCATCTCTTCCCTGGGAAACTCCAACAGCATGATGCAAAGCCACAGCTTTACAGGAAGAGTCCCAATCCAGTCCCAGCCATAGTTGCTCTCACCATTATGAAATCTGAGGCCCCTGCTACTCCATCTAACCTTCACCATCTTCTTCCTCTTGCTGCTGATAAGGCATTTCTACTCTGCCTCTTCAGTAGGACCACCTGAAGCCATATCCCCCTGGTCTTGTGAGAAGACCACTATGCTCAAGTTTCCTTGGGAAGAAAGTCTCATGCAGCTAGCAGGCTAGCCAGGCTTATTCAAGAGTGGGAACAAAAGGATAGAGAAGGTCAGCTAAAGTGGCAGGGGCCCTGGAGTGCAGGGGGCCAAAAGGGCATATATGGGGTGGGAAGAGTTGAAGTGCCCCTGTAGTCATAAGTACAGGTAGACTACTGAGCACCCACATTTTGATCATGTGACCACACAGGCACTGCATTGTTTTATAACTTCGGGGACCATTTCTGACTTCCTTTGTTCAGTGCCACTGTAACAATCACTAAACAAATAGTTGTAAGTCGAGGACTACCTATACAGCTTAGCCATTCTTACATACGGTTGCAGTACTGCTCTGTTGCATTATCCTGTCTAAACTGATGTTTTGGTGGTTCCTGTCAGTTTTAATATATTTATGGACATAGAAAAGCTACTGCTTGACTTTGGGCCTCTGGCGTAGTGTTCAGCAGTGTTTTTCTATAGTGAAATTCTGAGTTTCTTGGGCCTTACCATGCACCTGTGAAAAATAGAGAATGTTAACATTATATAACAGTGGTAGCGAACCTATGGCACGGGTGCCAGAGGTGGCACTCAGAGCCCTCTCTGTGGGCACGCGCGTCGTCGCCCCAGTCCTAGGCCTTCAGCTGGGTTTTATAAAACCTTTTCGCTTTAGGCCTCCGCCGTCATGTGCAAAAAAAAAGGTTCAATCAATCAATTTCAACTTCTTGCGGGAAAAAAAAGATCTTGCAAAGTTGGAATTGATTGATTGAACTTTTTAGTCCCGCCCCGTCTGCCGTTACCACTGCAGCCACGCCTACCCAGTGGGCCACATCCAGCCAATGGGCCACACCCACCCGGCACTCGACGATGCATAAGTGAGTTTTGGGTTGCAGTTTGGGCACTCGGTCTCTAAAAGGTTCGCCATCACTGTTATATAAGATTTGGCTATTCGGTTTGAGAAAATAATACCCACTTTCGTAATGGTGAAATAAAAATGGTTTATTTTTCATTCTATATTATACTGTAGAAGAGAAAAATACGAAATAGGCAATTCCAGTGTGGCAGAGTTAGAGAAGTCTTGAAGACAGAAGATTGTATTTTGTTTCTTGCATCAAAATGTTGGGCACATTTGGAGGCAATTTTCTCCTTGAGTTGCTACTCTTTTGGGAGGAAGGAAGTCAGAGACCAGAGTATTTCAAGGATAAAGGGTTTTCTGCCCGTTCCAGAATATATATCTCAGTATAATTATTCTTGTAGTTTTATCTTGCTTGAAACACTTGGCTTCCTTTTGTAATCAACTAAAATTCGGTGTCATGCCTTTAATTATTTAGAAGACATGCATTTTAAAAAAAGGTTAAACATATTAATCTTTAAATAGAATGACTGAAAACTGCAATTATATGCACACACACAAACATATATATATATATACATACATATACACACACACAAACTGTCAAGCTATTGGGAGAGGCAGTTCTTCGCAAAGTAAGCTAAACAAATTACACCATGAGATTAAATAAATGGATGGAAAAGCTAGCTAAATCTAGTTTACGCCGACATTGTTTATTGTATGGCTCTATAACTTTTTATTATTGCAAACCATACTTGCTTCTTTGTAGGTGGTGCTCGACATGATCATAATTGGGACCAAAATTTCCATTGTTAAGTAGGGTTGTTGTTAAATGAGTGACATCCTATTTTATGACCTTTTTTGCCACAGTTGTTAAGTGAATCATGGGGTTGTTAAGTGAATCATGTGGTCGTTAAGCAAATCCGGCTTTCCCCATTGTTTTTGCTTCTTGGAAGCCAGCTAGGAAGATCACAAATGGTGATTACATTATTTCTGGATTCTGAAACTGTCATACACAAATATCCATTGCCAAGTGCCGGAATGTTGATCAGTGGAATGTGATCAACGTGAGGATGCTGCAACAGTCGTAAGTTCATGACCAGTTGTAAATCACTTTTTTCAGTGCCATTGCCACTTCGAATGGTTGTTAAACAAATGGTTGTAAGTCGAGAATTACCTGGATGTTCATTATGATTTTTGAGGTTATTTTTTTTGAGGCTCTCATCAACACCATCCAACCATAATTTTCTCAGTATTGATTTTCCTTTTGGCTGATGAACTCTTCTTTTATATATTTGGGATTTATTTGCTCCAACCTACCTTTGTGTTCATTTTTTTTTCAAACCAGTCACTCTCTTTAAACTAATCCACATTCATTCAATACTAATTTAGCCTTGATTCCACCTGCTCTGGCTTTCCATATGCAGTTTTTAAATACCTTATTTCCACTGCATTCTGCTTTTTTTATGTTTTTCTTAAGAGCAAAATAGCAGAAGCAGGTTGCTAATCACAATCATTCTGCTTCTTTTGACAAACATCCATTCCTCATGCAAAATCATATGCTACCCATTACATTGTACCACTATCTGCAGATCTTAAAATTTCTCTGTATATTTTCCTCAAGGCACCATACTTATTTGTCTAATTTTATTTAAACGTAAATAAAACTCAGACCCATATTGTTAAGTCCGGAGAATAATGGCGCTTGAGACGAAGCATTTCTAACAAGTCTTTATTCTCTGCTTCCATTCTACGAACAACCTGAGCAGAGGCACACAGGTCTCTATTTATACCTTCTAATCCCCGGGCAAGTTCAACCCATCATGAGGCGGGCTTTTCCCGCCTTGCGCATGCGCACAAGGCCGGCGCCGCTCAGTCCGGTCCCGGGCAGCTTCTGCAAATGCCCGGGACTCTTGCAACGTCCCGAGCCTGCCTCTTGCAAGCTCAGGACACAACACATATCTTGATCAGTTTGGAAATTTATCTGCCTGCTCTGTTCTTCATTTTTAATGTGTAATTTGAAATTAGACACTCCACTCAAAGCATAACTGTCTTGATTTTTTAAATATATTCATTTTCAGACACAACTATCTTGGTTTCTGCTACATTCATTTTCAGTTCAAGTGATATGTTGCATCATGCAATCCATTTAGGATTTGCTGAAAATAATTTGGTTTTTCAGCCAATGAGACATAATCTGCATAAAAAATACACACGTTTAAATTCTAACCAACAAACCTCTGCCATCACCGTGCACATTCATATACATTTAAGTATAAATACAGTAAACAACCAAGAAGAAATCACACATTCTAGGCTTCTGTCTTGAACCATTTGCAAACATTGCATTTATTCTCCCACATATATTACATTTGACAGCTATCATTATTAATTCATTCAGCAACAATCTTTCATTTTGTAGATTTCTGACTTTTTTGCTCATTCTTCACCTTTCTCTTCACTGAGTACAGTCTATGTGTTTTCATTCATTCATGCTCTTTACCAGTTATCTCTTACATTTCAAGTTAAGTCAATCTTCCAAATACATTGACTTCAAGTCAAGTCAATCTTCCAAATACATGAACCACACTAGGTAAGCCCCAATATATTCATTGTAGCCATTCATCATAGCTTTGGTAAAATATTTTCTTGTAACACAATTTCGCAAGCTGGAGAAGGAAGAGATAGGTTACCACCCTTAAGTATTTCATACAAAATTTCCTTTCAGTTATAATGATTGAACTGTAATACATTTTGACCAGTGTGTTATAAAGATAATCAAGGTCCAAATTTATTCCAAGCACGAACACACTGTTTTTTAATCTAGATGCTATTGATTGCATCCCACCAATTTGGATATATTATGCATGGAATGTAGTGGCACATCCTCAGGATATAAAATACTGTACTATGTAGATAATGATGTTGATCATTA